CCTTCTATGTTTGATTAATGCAACACTGCAAATGTTTATAAGAAAGTTATTGATCGCGGTGGCAATCGATAAAATGGAAGGGCTCTCTCAAAACAAAACTGTAATGGAATCATCAGAATTTGAAGAATCCAGGCATACATATGTGGGCACCGTTATTGCTATGGAGGCTTGAGCTCCGATTTCAGCAATGAATTCCTCTGAATTCAATCCAAAGTTGAAAATTTCGACGGAGTCCACATGCGCTTTTGTGCTGCTCGGTACTGTCTGCCCAGATCCCTCCTTCTCCTCTCATGCTGGTGAAATTGGCAGGGTTAAAGAGAGGAAATTACGAGATGAACCCAGTAAAATATAGATACTTGTGGCTGGTCAGAGTTCCGATCATCAAGGCTGAATTTCTGATGCAGAAGGTAGTCATCGCAGTACTTGGGAACTGCGATGACTACCTTCTACACCTACTTTGAAATCTGCAGTTCGGATTCGCTTGAGCTAATCCAATCCCTATTCAGTCCATAGTCGATTCAATAGCATGAAATGCTTCTAACGAAGCGAAAAGAATGACAAGAACGTCACTAGATTTGCAACCGGCTGTCAGCATATACAGGTATGAATTCGAGGTTAGCGACGACTTGAATTCAGGTAATATACGTGGCGTATCCCCAAACGCCCAAACAATCAAGTTTTCAAGCAACGTCATGTCCACTGATAAACAAATATGCTACTGTACTTCCAGGTTTTCTGCAATTTCGTCACGTCGACATGTGGGCAGTCCAAAGGTTGCTTCATCCCTTCTGATCCGGAATGCTATCAAGGATGTAATGGAATGAAATACTCTTGGCTCCAAATTGACAGAAATCTCATGCAAATCGAACTCGCTGTGGATAACCCTGACACATCTGAAGGTTTCTATGTAGCTGTGGGCTTCTCTGAGGATGATCTCATGGTAGGTGCCCGATTTCCTGACTGAAGCCGTTCGAATAAAGCCTAATGTTGATCCTACTCAAAAACTAACCAACAAGATGTAGAAAGCCTCAACTGAATTTCATTAGTGCTTGATTTTAGGGTGACGACAGCGTTATCGAATGCTCAATGCTTGGCGGCGGTCCATTGTCCTTGAAATTGTCCTACAACATCAATTCCACTACGGATCCCAGCACCAATGGCGTACCGACTAATCGAAGGCAGTTCAAAGCAGTAGGTTTAAATGTTGTTAGTCTGGGTGATAGCCCGGAGTCGAACCGATTCCCTTTTCCGGGCATTTTTTTTCTGTTTTTTTTTTCTACCAACCCTGTCATTTTCTAGTGACTCTGAGATTTGGTCACAACTTATTGTCACCCTCTGCCGTCTGCCTCTCCCTCTTTTTCTGACTACCCCTTCATCTTTCTTATTCGAAAGTCTCATCCAAATTTGTTTCATTACTCACGCATGCAATAACATCCATAAGTAAATCTACCGTCTACCTTTGTACACAGTCACCTACAGTCGAGATCAATGTAGATGGCTATCGCTTCGTGCTACCTGTCAACCCCTACCTTCCTTACTACTTTATAATTTACCTCTACCGCTTCGATACTCATTTAATCTAGCGTGCCCCATTTCTTACGTTTATCTCCTGTCTGCTAGGAAAATCGCTTCCAAAAACGATGGATAAGTATTTTCACCAAAGAATCCTTCTCAAAGAAACGTCCACTCATCCAACCTCCACATAAACTCGTAGGAGTGTTTCAATTTTGCTACGGATTTGATCTATAAAAGGAGATAGAAAGAGTGATGAAGGGACAAAGCAGACGCAGCCGATTAACAAGGGGTTTCTATGAAACATGATCAGATACCCTAATAATACGTTATGCAATTAGACTATTGACATAATCCCATCTTCATCTCCTACAAAAAGTGCAACTCATAAAACTCAAAGCGTCTTTTTGCATCAACGATACTACGGCTTAGACCCATTTTGAGTCTTTAGCGAGTTTTCCACAGAATCGTTCCTTTCTCCCTATTGCTAAGGTGCATTATTGTGCTCCCACTTCTCTCTGGGTCATATGAAGCACATCCTCTTCAGAAATCGAGTATTAATTACAGGGATCAGAGTTCTTCTTGAACTCAACCACAACCAATACTGATGGGCATGTATACTGTAGTGCAGCACTCAATGTCACAGCCGCTGCAGAGGCTGGACTACTTCGGATCAACTTTACTCAGCCTTACTACTTGCTGATGGCTAATGGACCTACCACTGACACCGGTAAGCACGATATTAATAATAGATAGGATAAACAACTTCATAAAGAAAAAACACTATCTTCCGATCACTGTTTTGAGAACCTTCATTATTGGTAAGACCTATCGACATCAGAGTTACGAGGCCTCATAAGAAATGAAAGACTTAATTTATATCCCGAGGAAAAGTCTAGCCTGCATACAAGCGACTGGGGGAGCAGCGAGGCCACATATCAGCTGAAAATGAGCTAAAATTCATCAGTATTTGCAAAATAGCATGACACTGCATGGCTTACTCCAGTTTGGCAACAACTCAGGTCTGCCCTGCATTTAAAAACTGCCCCATAAAATTTTCCAAACCTCAGGTTCTGATTTTTTTT